CCTTTTCCTTTATCGGGCCATAAAACATTGCTTTAAAGACCGGGCTTTCGCAGGAGAGAATGATTTTGTGAGCTGGAACGCTTTCAGTATGCTTGGCGTGGACTTTAATGATAAAGTTAACGTCGGCTATTTCCGGGTTCAGGTACAATTTCTCGGCGATTTTTTGTGGCACATTATTAATTCTTTGAAATGCCATCGTGCTTATCGGAGCTGCCTGATTTTAGAGATCTAGTTTTATTTCAGAAAGAGACATGTATTGAAAAGGCCAACATGAGTTTTTTGAATAAAATATGATGCCTCGAAATAAGAGACATACATTAGAATACAGAAAGCATGAAGCCACAAAAATGTTAGGTTAAGAAAATTTCGGCCAGGGACCATGAATACTTCTTTTAATTTTTTTTACTAAAATGTTCGGTTTACCTTTCAATCAATTGTCTCTTCAAATTTGTGATCCACAAAATGTGTTTATAATGTTAAATGCACACAAACGGAAAGTTTCTCCAATTAAATCTGAAATTGGTTCAGAATAGGAAAATATTTTGTAAATCTGTTGCTGAAGCCATTTCAGAACAATCAGATAAAATTACTTACATTTGCAGTTTGTTTTCCAAAAGAAATTATAGTAAGTGTTTGAATCATCGTCAAGATACGGTGATAAATTTGATCAAAAAACGTAGTTACATATAATAAAGGTGTTAGAAAGAATGCTCTACAGTATTATTCTCGACCAATCGATTGATGACAACCATTTAAGTTTTATTACGCAGCTATGACCAAATTTTGACAGATCATCACTGAACGGATGAACGAAGGAGCAATCGGGTGCGTTCAATTCGCATTCGGTGCTTACATTTTAAATTTAATTTATGCTTCTGATTCCAATATGAAAGCTTTTGACTATTGTAAAAAAACTATAAAATTTGATCAAAACTGAAATTGAGGAGGAAACAAATTAACATTTTCTCAGAAAGTATTTGCACCAAAATGCTTCAATATTCTTCAATGAAAAAATAAAACACATACGATTGAATAGCTTTCATTTTTGAATTTTCATGAATTCATGATGTTTGACATATTTATAATGCTTTTTTTCAGCCCGAAACGGCATGAAAAGTAGAAAATGATAGAATAAATGTATTTTAGTGTTACTTTTTGAAATGGTCCGAAAGACTGATTCAGGCTGAAAGTTTTTCAAACACTAAACCGCTAATTATACCAGAATTTGGTGATAAACGTATTTCGACGTTTTCTTGTTTCAAACAAATGGCTTTCGCCACTTTAAAATAATAATTTAATGGCATTCCACCATCAATTTTAATAACATATGCCTCATTTGGTTCAATAACAATTCCATCGGGAACTATTAATTTAGATTCACCATTTGTCAAGAGGTTTACGTTCCCCAATACCGATGATAAATTATCTTTTTGCAATGTGAATGTAAAATTCGTACCACTAACGGTGAAAACTTGTTGTGCAATGTGTATTTCCTTCAAACCCAATCGAACGTTCAACATAATTGTGCATTCGAATGGCAATGTACATAAAACACTTTTTGTGTCATGGCGGAAGGAAATACTTAGTTTCTCAGCGGGTTCCTTCGTTTTTGTTTTCTTCGACGTTGCCTGCATAATGATTGATTCAAAATCGTCTTCGTTGAAAAATCGCTTGTAGCTGCTAAAATGTTGTGA